GTCTAATGAACAGTTAACCTGTTTCAGAATCAAATTTACATGACAAATTCAATAGAATGACACAAAAAGGCAGATATTTAAATGAAAAGTTTGTTCAAAGCTGGATAATAGTTTTCCAAGGATTGTGCTAGTTTTTATCTTGACTGTATAATAGACTTATAGACTCATAATAGACTGGTCAAAGATCCGCAGGCATTGGAAGCAAATTGTTTGTATGTATGTATATATATATATATATATATATATATATATGTATAGTTTGTTTGTTCTTGGAAATTGAATACTTGAGTAAAAAAAAATACTACATAGACAAGACACAGATTACATTTATGATAACTGTCTTAGGGAGGACATTTTTACAATGTGCTGGATATTAATGACTTTATTTTCCGTATAACAATTCTTTGCACCAGTAATCTGTTCTAAATGTTGTACTCATTTCAAATGGACTAAATGCTAACAATTTCAGATTTGTCCAAAAAGGAATAGGTTTTCAGCAATAGGAATTCATAACTTCAAACATCTGTCAATTGGTTTAAATGGAAAAAATGTATAATAATAATATTGATTTCAACCCCAGGTTAATAGTATGAAAATTAAGGGTAACACTTTATTTTGATAGTCCACTTTAGACATTCAACTACCTATAAATAACTTTGCAACTACATGTCAACTAGCAGTCATTAGAGTATTAGTAGACTGTCCACTTAATATCTAACACTTTATTTTGATGGTCGCTCAACAGACTTTCTACTGACTATAAGTAACTTTGCAAGTACGGCAACTCATTCTACTAACCCTAACCTAACAGTCAACAAATACTCTAATGAGAGTTAGTTGATATGCAGATATGCAGATGTCTAAAGTGGACTATCGAAATAAAGGGTAACCAAATTGGGTCCATAAAAAACATGCTGTCTCAAGAATCTGTGAGATATTAGCCATTTTGAGAATACAGCATGAATTCGAAACTCCTCTTTAATTCCAAGATTCTGGAATTCCCACTTACACATGTCTTTGCAGAAAAACTGATTTTATTCTTATTCTCATAGACACATTTATTCATGTCATGTGATCCATGTTTATTGTAAAAACTTACTTGTCAGGTTTACCTAAACATTACTTTCAGCTTGTGATATTCCGCTATTGAGGTCATCATATACACAGGCCTACTGGTGTAGCCTCTTCTTTTGATTTCATATGTATTGCCTTAACCACAAGTACATTTAAATACTGCATGTAAGTATTAAAAAAAACAAAAAAAAAACACCACAAGACATTTTTATAAAGTTATTGTCTGCATAATTTTGCACTGGCCAAGCATATATTTCTAGATTTATAACTACATTTATAACTAAACTAATTATAAGTTAGTACATAAGTAATAACTACGTAATTAATATGTATTTAATATAAATGAGTACTTATTCCATAGATTCCACATTATTTTCCACTAAGCTCCCAGACTGAGAACCAGAGGCCATGTGTTGCTATTAAAGATAACAGGGAACAAAGAAAAATCATTAAAGGAAAAGAAAAGTGAGTGAACAGGAAGCAGGGAAAGGTGGAGAGGACTCTCCTTTAGCCCACGGGTGTAAATCGCCCTCCCTCTGCCCTTCACGGGATCTCGTATCCAGTGTCGTGCAATCAGAGGCGACCGGCCATTAGGCCATGACTTCCCCACTTAGTGCAATAAAAACTTTAAGAAAAATAAATCATTTAACAAATGAGAAATGTAAAGGACAAAACCCCCCAGATATGAATGGAAAAAGTTTGAAGCGATAGATCAAGGTGTTCTTGTTCTGCTCGTACGAGTTCTTTAGGATCCAGACAGACAGCACTAATTACTTAATTAGAATAAAATGTCGGCTAAACTTGGTCTGCACATAAACTTAGCATTATCCTTTTTAGTTTGAGGCTTCAATAAATATATGTCTGCTTGGCAAGAAATAAGACGGACCGTCTCACCACAAAAGTGCCACATTCTGTTGTTTAGTACTTGTAATTAGGTAAGGCAATTACAAGATGTATGTTTGAAGCAAAGTGCAAAACACACGGCCACAGTGGCCCAAACTAAAACTAAAGCAGAAGCCTAAACTTGTTACATTAGAAGAAACCAGTGACCAGATGGACCACTGACCAGTACACGGACAATCTAGTGGCTTCAGGCCAGTCATTAATCAAGAATTTCAGATTTCTTTGGTTGTGTGCATGTGCAATACATAATTGTAATGGTTCATTCTTAGATGCTTCAATAGATGCATGACACACCTGAAAATTACATTTATCATGGCACCATAATGTAAAAAAAAGGCATCTTTAAACAGTATAAGATGTTTTTAAAGTAAGCTTTTTTTTTTTTTTTTGTGGCAATTTCACAGAATTGTGAGATATAAAGTCACAATTGTGAGTTATAAAGAGATATTTTATAAAAATATAAAGAGACACAGTTGCGAGATGAAAACTCGCAATTCTGACTTTATAACACGTAATTGTGAGTTCATATCTCGCAATTCTGAGAAAAAAAGTCACAATTGTGTTATAAAGTCAGAATTGCGAGATATAAACTCGCAATTGCGAGAAAAAATGTCAGAATTGCGAGTTCTTATCTCGCAATTGTCTCTTTATATTTTTATAAAATATCTCTTTATAACTCGCAATTGTGACTTTATATCTCGCAATTGTGTCTCTTTATATTTTTATAACGTCGTTTGCACTGTGCTCTTGCGTTACTTGATCTTTTTATTTTGGTGCGTCAATCTGTTGAGTTACTTAGTATAGGACTAACTGAGGAAGGCTTTGAGCCGAAACGTTTGTGTCTTTTCCCATCAGTAATGAATCTTTATATTTTTATAAAATATCTATTTGTAACTCGCAATTCTGACTTTTTAAACTCGCTATTGCGAGTTAAAGTCTAATTTTGAGGGGGGGGGGAGACTGATATGTTCTCAGAATTGCGAGTTTATATCTCACAATTATGACTTTTTAACTCGTAATTGCGAGTTTATATCATGCAATTCTGAGAAAAAAAGTCACAATTGTGGGATAAAAAGTCGCAATTACCCTTTTTATTTTTTATTCAGTGGCGGAAACGGGCTTCCATAGTTTTACAATAGTAACAACAGCTGTGTTTTGGTGGAAAACGCGGGCATTGTAGTCATTTCTAAAAGAAACTATAGTTATCTTAGTATATATTTTTTAACAGTATTGCTATGCTAAAATAAAAATAACTTGCTGTAGATCTGAGTGAGTGTTTCTCAAATAATGGAAAACAAATGGATGTGCGGATGACACATTTGATTCCTTTCTTTCAGTTCCCCGTTATGTGCTGTTCAGACAGCGAGAAAAGAGAGTTCACAAAAAAACATGACAAAGCCGAACAAAATTTAGGCAAACAAAAAATCCTTTTCTTTTTAATTAGGAAGATAGAAACAGTACAAAATAGACATTCCTTTCTATACACAGAGAAATAAAGAAATGGGAAATAAACAAGGGAATCGTTAAGTACATGAAGATTCGGAAACATAATTTCTGTTATTCTGTGTTAAACAGATCCAGTTAGTGGGGTTCGACAGGTAAAGTACTTCAAGGCACGTAGGTGAAGTCTTTTGGTCATAGGAAACTATTTACATTGTCCATACAAGAAGACGAAAGGGAATAAATGACAGAGGAATTAAGACGGCGCTGGTTTGCGTTTACACGAGCGATGACGACAGCACGCGCTCTCCGTTTTACTTAATAAAGGGTTTGAGAGATGAGAGAATACAAGCGCTTTGAGAGGTATATCAAAACATTACAAATGCACAAAGCTACTGTAAAAATACACCTGTATGTAAGACGCATATCAGTGTCCAAACTGCAACGGAATGTCAAGATCTGTTTGCAGTCACAGTCCCAACGAAACGGTCACTAAGTGCTGTGGATTTGTCGCTAACCAAGTCGATTTCCAATTCGTCTCAAAGATGAACAGGCCCGTTTTGTTGATGGTGAAATGCAAGTGCACTGTTTGAAGTACTATAAATACACAGCAAGCTCGCCGCTAGTTCTGAGCGATTAGCTATGACTTCATTAATGAGTAAACGTCTGCATCTGCTCTATTTTACAACAGTCTTCACGGGGGTCTGATGGGCAAAGGCTACCCAGGGTCTTCATGAAAACCTCTCAAAACATCGATAAATGGATGGTGCTATTTACATGGAATCATACAAACGCATAACTATCCACAGTGGTTTGGTACAAGGCAAGAAATGGATGAATTAAAGACTTATTAGTTGGGCACTTGTTTCCGCAGCATTACAGAAATCTCACAAGGAATGCCTCTATTTTAATTCCACATGTTCGTAATAACAGCAATTTGTCAGGTCACGATTGTTTCTTGTAGTGAACGCAGGAAAGCATGTTAACGCTGTATTTGGTTGTGAATACAGTGGTAAAAGGGTTGTGCAGAGTATCACCAACTCATGCGGCCATTGTTATACAAATCAATGAATAATGATACAAATCTGAAACTCGAAAGCGAGCCGTCGGGTCATTCATTAAACCAAAAGCACACCGCAAAAGTCAAACAAGCACCATGAACTGTGCTACTAGTGGAATGTAACGTCCCGACCATGAAGACAGCACGCATTAACTCTGAGATACTGATACAGCATGTGGACGATCATTTCCAACGCATTATTTTCAGAGGTTTGGCCCATCAGGAGTACGCAACTAGATGAATTTTTGTTTCGAAACGTGAAAAAAGTGATATGGGTTTTGAAACCGAATGTGCTGGTGGAGTGGCACAGTATTTAAAGAGGTCAGTCCGTTTTGGTTTAAGGTTGGTGTGACATTCATTTCGGTTCATTGATGATGGCGTAAATGTGAATCCCAGCAGCTGCGAGACATATTTAATATCACTATAAACTTCATCCACACAACTGGTGTGAATTAGACATCTATGTGCAGGCTGTGGAAAACAGAACGCCATCCAAAAACAATGCATCCCTCGTAAAAATAATAATAATAAAAAAACCTTCAGTAAGTGCACAGCAATGAAAGAAAATCATTAAATGCGTTAAATGCCTCGTCCAAAACAACAAAGATCAGTGAAAAATACAGACATTTGTTTTAAGAACATTGTGTTGTAAAAGAATCTCACACACTGCCATTAAAGTGGCTTCGAGGGCCCATTCAAATATCATTTTGCGTTTTTTTTTCTTGTGGTCAATTGATTGTGAGTACAGAACAGACAATAGATATGATTGATAGATACACATGCACACACATATAAAGATCATATTCAAATTAGTTTGGTCTAAAAAGAGACTGATCTACCTTGCGTTACAATTAGTCTAGGGAAAGCCTAAGCACTTCCTGTGTCCACGATATTCAATGTACAGTGGTCATATTGACGCGACGTGTGCTCAGAAAGATGGGCGTATATGTGTGTTTTTTTGGGTGTGGGTGGGTGTGTGCAATAAACTTGCTAATAGCTGGTTTGTCCCTCTGGCCTTCAAAAACATGAGACATTAAATCAAATACACAGAATCAGTACAAATAAGCATCTCGAAGTATTCAAGTTTACAGCCTTCATGCTGGGAATGCAGGTAGAATGTAACTGAACTTGACACGAATGCAACTGTTTTTTGCTTCACTTTAAAAAAAAAAATATGAACGTTAAGCGTAAAACTAGATCCAGAATTAGATCTTTCTATTCCCAGAGGTTTGGAAAATTTCACGGTTCACATTATGGAATGCACAGTGCAAAAAAAAAAAAATACTATTTATAAAACACACAGTTGTCATGATCATTTTCTTCTTCTTCTTCTTCTTCTTTAGTGGTTAAATTGGTTAATAGTAATTACATCATAGAGTGGAGCCACTTTGTGGTTGCCAGGTGCAAGGAAAACCCGCATTTTCTCCTAGCACAGTCCGCTTGACAGGGGTAGTAAAGTGGGCTGCCTTTAAAAAAGGTGAAATAATCCTCAACCGCTCCTGCAAATCTGCTTTCGCATCTCCAGCTAAAGTAAACAGTCTCTTTTGAGGTGAACATTGAATGACTGGAGTGCATTCTTTTAGTGAATGTTAAAAACACACTAACGCACAAAGCGGCCTCATGCGTCATAGTGTGTTTGTTTGTGTGGTACTTGAATGAAGAAGATGCCTTGGATCCCAGAGCCCCGGCAGAACTGTGGCTGTGGGTTGTTAGCTTAGCCGCGCTTTGCTGGTGGTCAGTGTTGAGGTGGTGTCTTGGGGGAGGGGCCGTGATGAGGAAGCCACGCCCCCTGAGGCACTGCTGGTCTCGAGGCACGGCTCGTTCACATGGTGTGGAGCGCAATTTGGTACTGGACGGTTTTCAGACGCGTAAAGACCTGGTTTAAAGGGAGTCTTCGTCATGCTCCATGGGCTCATCGGCAAGGCTGTAAAAAATGAGGTTTATGTTTAGCATCAAACAATCACCATATGGTTTTTATGCTCAGGAATGTATCAAAAGCATATGTATTTAGAGCATTTGCTCTAAAGCCCAGTATAGATTAGAAGGGAAGTAGGCACCTGTGAAAACATTAGGATGAATTGGTTTGGATTACAGATTAGCCCCTTTCTGCAAAAACAAACTCTTGTAGGAAAATGTGGCTTTTCCTGAATTTTTGGTAAGTAAATTTGGTTGTAGAATGCAGTTGTCACACCCATATTTTAGTATTTGTATACTATTATCATTTTTATTTATATTTAAAAATATATATATATATTTTAAAAGGTTTTGTTTTAATTTTAGTTTCATTTTATCATCAGCTTTTGTCATTTTTATTTTTTTTTAATTACTATTAAAGTCTAATTTATTTTAGTTTTAGTTATTTATTTTCAGTTCTTATTATCTCATTTCAGTTAGTTACCAAAGCATCATTTCTAATTTTCATTATGTTTTCGTCTAATATTTATATTTTATTTCAGCTTAATTTCAACAGTTTTATTTAACAAAAATATTTTAATAGGTTTATTTAACAATAATAAACTTGGTTAAACTAAATAAAAGAACAAATTGTGTACAAAACAGGATCAAGGCACTATAGAAGTGTGACTAATTCTATTACTTGGATTTAGCACAATTTCTTCATCAGAACTCACCTTTTGTTGGTCAAGACCCCCACGGAGAGGGATGCCATCGCATTCACTGTGTCCGTTTCCTCACAGTCTTTCCTCTGGGCACCCAGAAACGACATCCCCACTGTGCCCATCAGCGGCTTCAGTGACGGCCAATACTGACCTGAGACAGAGGAAGAGATTTCAGAATTAACAGACAGGACTCATTTTTGCCATAATTCACCATTCCTCATGTCATTCCAAACCTATTTGACTTTCTTTCTGAAGTGAATCACAAAAAAAGATCTTTTGCAGAATGTCAAAGCTGCTCATTTCCATGAAATGAAAATACTAAAAGGCATTTGCAAAATACTGCACACAATTTGTGTGCTTTATTGTGAAGCCTTTTTGTGAAGGAGACTGAAATTTAAATGGCTAGTATTCAAGTTTAAGTTTATTTGTATAGCGCTTTTCACGATACAAATCGTTGCAAAGCAACTTTACAGAAAATTAAGTTTCTGCAATATTTAGTGGTAGCTTATCAGTGGTGACTGTCAGTTAATGTACATAGTCGAAGAAAACCTAAAGTATTTTAGTCTAGTTTTAGTTGAAGTAAACCTGAAGTATTTTAGTCTAGTTTTAGTCTAAGAAAACCTGAAGTATTTTAGTCTAGTTTTAGTCATTTTTTTCTCAAAATTATAATCGTAATTATTGTTGTCATTTGAGAAATTTACTTTTGCATTTCAGGTAGGCCTATTGCACTTTCTCAAGTAAGCACAAATCAATAGAATGTGGACACATTGTGTATTTTACCTCATCTAGTGTGCTGATTTATTATAGGCTTTTTATTATATAAATCAACACCAAAGACTTATGCAATCTCTCTGTCTAGGCTACATTATGAAAACAGCTAAAACAAACGAAAAATATTATAACAATGAAATTCCTAGTAATTCCACTAATTCCATAATTGCAATAGTCTATTTCTCTATTAAAACAACAGCGGTTGAGTAAGTGTATTTATTCAGCAATCACAATCACAAACAATATAGTTGAGGTCTCATGACAGAACACAGACCGGCTGAATGACGCTTTCATTTAGATCGCTAAACTCCAGCTTGTTTGTTTTTCAGTATTTAGTAGTTTTTGGTAAAGTTTTTATCTTTTTGAATACATTTTAGTCTCGTCTTATTTCGTCAACGAAATTGGATGTTGATATAGTCTTAGTTATCATTTATTGACCTTACTGTCGTCTCGCCTTCGTCTCGTCTTAAGCCCCGTTCACACCAAGAACGATAACTATAAAGATAACTATAAAGATAACGATATTAGCGTCCACACCAGCGAACGATATCGTCTGTTTATTC